TATGGGCCAAGCTCTTGATACAATGTTTGACGTGCATGAACTTTGGTTCCACAGCTGGAAGCGCTGTCTCCACGCCACTGTCCCTGGTGTGAGCAGAGGTGGGACTCACCCCAGGCAGTCTGACTTCTGGGGACACACTTTGGCTGCTCCCCTCGGTTTCCTTTCTGGACACTCATGACCTGATCCTTCCACCCACTTCCCGCCTGTGCTCCTCAGCCGTCTCTTCCGGTGCCAGCGATTTCTTTGCTCCCACTTGCTTCGGTTCCTGACATTCTGTGGCTGCCGTGCAGACCGGTTAACACCGTGAGGTGGCGATGATAAGGACTGGGAAGGGGTGCCGGACTGTGGTTCTCGACTGGCAGGCAACGTGGGTCGCACAGTCGTGGGACTGAAATACGAATAATAATTTGCATGGGGGGGTGGGGGGGTGGGGAGGAAAGAGCCCCCAGCACTCTTCCAGGCTGCCTGCCGTCACCTGCAGGGAGGCCGTGAGGGTGTCTGGCCTCAGGCTACGCCTACGCCCTTCCCACTCCGTCTGCAAAGCCCATGTAATTCTCCTCTTTGTCTTTTCTTTTTTAAAGACGAGCATGAAAGTATATGTCAGTGCTCCTTAGCACCCAAGGGTGCCACACCGGGAGCCTGGGCCTCAGCTTGGCCATCTGCCCTCAGTCCAGGGTGGCCGCTAGAGGCGCTGATGGCTGGAGGCGGTGTCTCGTGCGTGGCATGGGCTGCCCTGGCTCCCCAGCCCTCCACGTCAGAGAAAGAAGAAACCAATGGGATATAGTGTAGGTACTTGCCAAACTGTTTATTTGCCATTCACTAGGTATAATATCGGATTTACAGAAGATACTGTGGTACAATGAAAGTAAGGGTCCGATGGTACGTGGGCAGTGGCAGTCCGGGCACCCTGCACAGGCTGGGCACAGGGACTAGGCCTGCTCCGACCATGCGTGGACCATGTGAGCCCAAGTACCTGCGCTCTCGTGCCACAGAAACGCTAGGAGAGGGGCTTCTGGGTGCACCTCACCTCTGGTTGCAAACTCGAGACTGCCAGTCCCTTCCGGGAAGGGTTCAGCATGTGAGCACAGGCAGAAAGCACACACCTTCCCAGGAGCCTTGTGCAGGGCCAGTCACTGAGGGGACACCAGGGCCCAGCCAAGCAGGACCGCACCTGCCGTGGTTGCTTTTCCAACAGATGTTCTACTGTCATTTCAATGTGAAGGTTTATTTTTTCCATTGATTTTTATACATCCAGAATAGCACAAATAACCAACAGTTTTTTTTTTGCACATTCATTTTCCCTAGAACAAAAAGTGAACTTAAAAAAAAAAAAAAATGAAACCATGCTATTAGCTCTTTACAAAAGTGAATAAAAAGTAGCTCGTTTTAAAGTCTAAAATAAACAAAGTAGAAAGAAGCATTTTTTGTCTACAGTATTTAGCAAACAAGAAAAAGTCCTTAGAAACACACAAAAAATTGAAAAAAGTTATTACAGGTATTAACAATATTTTATAATGACGCTTAAAATCTATTTACATACATAAATACAATTTAACGTTGTTGATGAAACTCTTCCAGAAGGAAAAAATAATGCCAAGTGATCAGCTTCTGTGATACTGATCTGGCTAAAGGAGAGGGAACACCTCCACACAAACAAACAGAAACCCCAAACAGTTCTATACTGTAGGTAAACAAAAAGGCTTTTTGTTCAGATGCAAAGAAATATTTTCTGAGATTATTGTTAAACTGACTTCTGATGTATAAAAGACCCCAAACATGTCCTTCCCCCTGAACGTAAAAACCACCCCAACTGAAAATCACCAGGACAGAATGTCCTCAGGAAACAGATATTTCAGGACAGAAATCTGCAATAGAAGTTGCAGGACACTGAGCAAAACCATTCACTTCCATTCTCATCAGAGCATTTCTGTTTATCTGCACCGAAACCCTGGGCAGCAGAAAGGCTATGAACGCTGATGGTAACTCGCCCAGGAAGGCTTCTGTTGCTGCACTTGGACCGCGAGCAGACCCACATGGTTGGCGAGCAGACCCACATGGTTGGCATCCTGCTCTGCTGAGAGAAGCCGTGAGCAGGAAAAAGCTGACTCACCGAGTTCCTTCATGGAATGGGAGGAGGGCAGCTCCTCCTGTTCCGGACATTTGGTGTAGGTGGGGTGTGTGCTATCTCCTTACACAATGGGAGGAGGCAGGGGAGCAGAGAAACAGGGAGATGTTAACGGGGCAGAGAGGGAGAGAAATGGAAGTATTATTAGACAGCAAGAAAAAGAAAAAACTGAAATGAAATATGTGTCTATGTTTTAATTATAAATAAGGGCATGAATAAGCAGTAGAGATGGCTTATTTCATTTTTCTTCTCCTGGATCAATGCTCCCAGATACATCCAGTTTTTACATTATTGGCTTAAGGGTCTCCCTGATAAAGGGGTCACCTTAATTTACCTGAAGGCAATGAATGCAATTTCCCAGGGGAAAAATGCATTGTGAGACCTAGCTCCAAAACAACTAAACTCTAATTTATTTTTTCCTGCAACAATACTGTATAAGCTGGGAAGGGTCAATGGCCAAACTAGTGGGTCTATGACGTGACAAGCCCTCCTCATAATGGCTGAGAGCAGAGATTCATGGGAAAGGTGATCTGATTCCCTTGTAGGGCATTAGGCTGATTTGGACTTGGAATATCTTCAGGTACCAGAATTGAACTAAAAAATTAAAATTTTTCCCCCAACATTGTGTCAGGTCAGAGGTGGCATCATGTGCTGAAAAGAACCTTTAAATTAAATTTGGGGTAAATGGGCTAAGGGTTCTTTTCAGAAATTAAAGTTTTAAATTTATTGACATAATTTTGCTGCCAAAAAAAAAGGGAATATAGAATAAAATATAAAACTGAATTGTGGAGGGAGAATGAAGTCTCCAGTGAAAATGGATATATTCTGAGTTTCTACAAGATCTGCTTTTCTAGATGATATTGACCTGACGATGAAACTGCTTTACCCTTTAGCTCTTACCAAAGTGCTACTGCATCTGTGTAAAACAGGTCATATATACAGGGGCGGGGAAAAGGAGGGTTACAGCTGCTCGTATGGCAAATAATACAATAATTAATAAATAATAATACAAGAATATACTCTGTGTTTCGTGTACTCAACTGTAAATCTACTTTTCCCACCCTTGGATATATAAGAAATCTAAAAAAAAAAACAAACTTGTTTTAAATTAGTTCAGCTGTTTTGCTGCCTGCAGCCAAAGATCTAATTTGAATCTTTAAATTTCTAAAATAAAAGGCAAACACTGTTCTAAAGTCCTGCTTTCAAATGCTCTTCAGAGTTGACCTGAAATTGTTTCAACTGACTGAAGAGAGATATTAAATAACAACCAGATTGTTTTGAGCATACATATGTCAAATCAGCAGTTAGTATTTATGAGTCGTACAACTGCACTCTGACTGAATCCTCCAATAAAAATAGTGCCATACATTTACAGTGACATTGGATATTGCATTGTAGCAATGGGCAGCAGTGGACACGCATCTTTCCTGTCATGCTGGTGTGCAGGTCAAAGTGCACACCCCCCACAGGGTAGGGTCTCAGCCTGGTGACAGCAACACGAAGATGGGTTGTTAATGAGCAGCATGGGATGGGGTCCAGCATAGTGGGTACTGATGCTGTCCCATGTGACTGGACACAGCGGGGACACTGGCTTGCTCAGCCTACTGCTGGGCCCATGCTCTGAGAATTCAGTGGGAGACCTTCAGCTGTCAAAGGCACCCAGTCTAGTCCCTTCCACCCCCAGCCTTGGGGAACAGCCACACGTTTCGTTCTGTGTAAATGAACAGGTACTGTATCAAGGAGGAGTATTTTCTTAAAGCTAAAAAACCGAACTCTGGATTCAGATAACCTCCTTCCTACCCTAGAACCCAGCATTTAAGGAACCTCTAAATTCATTCATTTGGTTCAAATGTGGATGCTGCTCCTCCACACAGCTGACTTTGGATTTATATGTCTGAAATTATCAAGAGGCCATGAAGTAAATCCCTAGGCAGAAAGGAAAGCCCTCTCCAGAGGTGCGACCAGGGGCATCTACTGGACCCTCTGGGACCACATTTGACCTCTGTTTGAAGGGAGGGAGTCAGATGAGACCCTTTGTTGAGCTTGGCAGAAAACGCATACTTCAGATCTTTAGACTGACCTTCAGTATCTAAAAAGGCTATTAAAAACATTGCTGCATTAGCTACCAACTCGTTTGATTAACATTAAAGGAAGTTTAATGTAAACAATATTAGATAACCAAGTGATCACATTACCCATCCTTTTTTTCCCAGCCTTCTTCAATGTGATACATTTAACTTTGGCTACTATCAAAGACAAAAAATGTAGTACTTGATATTTTTCTTCTTAATATAAGTACATTTAAATAATAAAAAAAAGTATCAACACATAACTGTCTAAACATCATGATACATAAATATCTAGGGATTCCTTGTGGGAATACAGTAGTTGAAAATGACCCAAAGCTGTAGCTGTTTCTTAAAAACAAAAACAAACAAAAAAACAACTACACAAAAGTCCAAAAGAAAAGTTAAATAAAATTTACAGGAAAAGGAATCATATTTCTTTCAATTATCATAGCAAGAAAAAAGCAAGCTCAAATTTATTTATATATATATATACATATATGTATATACATACACACACATATATATATATACACACACACACACCACCCCAAATGCAAATACGCATTTTGCAATTTATAAGGTGCTGGAAAAGAACATTAAAAATATGAATTTGATGCCAAACAGGATGAGTTGCATCCCCCACCCCAACCCTGAACCCAAATTCCACACTCTTTGGAATAGACAACTTGGTTAAAAAGTGAAGTCAGGGTATAAAATCTTTCCTTTATTCACAGCATTGCTAAATCAGAAGCATTCACAGTTTCCCTCTGGAATCTTCCTGTGTGCCTCCCAGCGCGTCCACGTGGCGGGCGGCCCGGGGCGGGGCGGGGCGGCGGGCGGCGGGCGCAGGCGCAGTGGCGGCGCAGGCGCAGTGCCGGCGCTCAGTAGGGCCGCCACACGGCCTCCTCCAGGCGCGCGGCGGGCGCCATGTTGGTGGGCGAGTTGCTGTGGCTGCCCTCGGCCTCCACGGCGTCGCTCTGGTTCGGGAGGCTGGGGTTGAGCAGCGCCGAGCCGGTGGACGCGTTGGTGCAGGGCGGCAGGATGCGCGGCGGCGAGCGCTCGCCGCCCACCATGGAGAACTGGTAGGAGCCGGCCGACGCGCCGTAGTACAGGTGGTAGGACGGCGAGCTGGCCTGGAACGGGCCGCCCTGCGCCTGCGACGAGCCGGGGTAGGGCGGCGGCAGGTACGTGTGGTAGCGCGTGGCCGAGCTCATGGCCGACATGCCGATGCCGATGCCCGAGGTGACGGGCGTCGGGGAGTAGGTGAAGGCGCCGGGGTAGTGCATGCGCGGGTCTGAGATGGAGGGCAGCGCCGGGAACTGGCGCGGGTCGCCGAAGGCCGTCAGGTCCGGGGCCGCTGCGGGCGGGAAGACAGCGTGAGATGGGAGGGCAGGCGGCCTCGGGCCCTGCTCGGCGGGCGACTACCCACGCCCCGCGACGCCGCTGCCCCAGGCAATGCCGCCGCCCCCAGCGACCACCCACAATGCCACCGGCCCCAGGGACCACCCACAATGCCACCGGCCCCAGCGACCACCCACAATGCCACCGCCCCCCAGCGACTACCCACAATGCCACCGCCCCCCAGCGACTACCCACAATGCCGCCGCCCCCAGCGACCACCCACAATGCCACCGGCCCCAGCGACCACCCACAATGCCGCCGCCCCCCAGCGACTACCCACAATGCCGCCGCCCCCCAGCGACTACCCACAATGCCACCGGCCCCAGCGACCACCCACAATGCCGCCGCCCCCCCGGCCGATTACCCACAATGCCGCCGCCCCCCGGCCGGTTACCCAGAGTGCCGCCGCCCCCAGCGACTACCCACAATGCCACCGGCCCCAGCGACCACCCACAATGCCACCGGCCCCAGCGACCACCCACAATGCCACCGCCCCCAGGCCGATTACCCAGAGTGCTGCTGCCCACGGGAGGCTTACCCAGAAGACTACCTCCCAAGAAGGAGGACAACCCAGAATGCTACTGCCCAGGAAATTTGAAAGACTACCCAGAATGCTGCTGCTGCTGGGGCAGGTGGGGCACTAGGCAGCATACTATTGGCCAGGGAGTTGAGGACTTCCCAGAATGCTGCTGCTCAGGGGGATAGGGGACTACCCAGGATGCTGCTGCTCAGGGGGATAGGGGACTACCCAGGATGCTACTGCTCAGGGAAGTGGAAAATTAGAGTGTTGCTGCCTAGGGAGATAGTGTGATAATATGTAGTAATAGAAGGTAATATATGCTATGAATATAATACGGTATATAATATAGTAAAATAACAGTCATTATCTAGACATAACATAGGTGTAATACGTAGAATATAGACATAATATAGAATGTGTGTAACACAGATGTAATATTGATATAATCCTGGGGTTGGCAAACTATAGAGCCCCTGGGTTAAATCCAGTGGTGCCAAGTCTTGAGACCCACAAGCTAAGAATGAGTATTACTTTTTTTAAATGGTTGGGGAAAAAATGTCAAAGTATTTCCTGACATGAAAATTATGAGATTTGAATTTCAGGGTTCATATGTAAAGTTTTATTAGCATCAGCCTCACTCCTTTCATGTACTGTCTCTGGCTGCTTGGGCTACCTTTGCATAGGTGAGTGGTCGTGACACAGGCCACAGGGCCCCGAAATACTAAAATACTCAGTTTCTGATTCTTAAGAGAAAAAAGGTGGCCAACTCTCTAGATAATCAATATATTAATGCACCAATATTAATATAAATTTAGTCTGACCTTAATATAATTATAATTAAAATTGGTAATGTAGTATAACACTATAATTAGAAATGTAATGGGTGCATTAATAAATCATATTAATAGAATATATCATGCATAATATATTGTGTCATAACAATACTAATATATAATAACATACATAATATTTAGGTTGAATCACAGAAAACTGCCATTTTGTCAGGCCTCAAACAGTTTGAAATTGGCAATTTCAACCTATGAGTCAACCTATGCATACCAGAGTGGTGACCGAGTGAATACCAATACCACTGTTTCTCCCCACATTAGACTAGTTCCACTTTTTTAGAAAGAATCCGCCTTGATTTCACCTGGTATTCACTATTAAGTGCTTCACTGGCTTGTTAACATGCGTGGCTGCAGGACCTTGATTTATCTACTCCCATTTTTGCACATGTTGGAAGTTTACCAGGAATGGCAAAGCTTTGTCTATGAAACTCATCTTGTTAGAATTATGCATTTACAGTTTCACCCGCTGGCTTTGACTAGCTTTCTTGGCATTCCTCTGCTTTTTTCTGAACCTCAGGCTGCCCTTGGGAACTACTGGAGGTCTGGGTGCCGGAAAGGGTTCCCTATGTCAGATCAGAGTTTCTCAGAAGTGGCACCATTGACCACTCTTGGGCCAGATTTGTTGGAATGTGGAGGGCTGTCCTGTGCATGGTAGGATGTTTGGCAGCATCCTTGGCCTTTGCCCACCAGATGCAGTAGTGTACCCACTCCCAGAACCGTGACAATCAATAGCCAACAAAGTCTCCAAGCTCTGCCAGATGTCCTGGGAGTAGGGGTGAGGGGGGCAGGGGCAGCCCCCCATCCCTCTCTTGAGAACCAACACTGTAGATTCAGGATGGTGTCTTGGGGTAGTTTCTCTTTCTCAGAATTAGTCATGAATTGACCAGGCCAGGACTAGAGTCTACATTAGCAAACCCAAAAGACAGCAATAAAACAGCAGAGGCAAGAATTAAATGTTTTAAAATTTGTAAGTTCTCAAATCAACCTACAAAATAGCTCAAAGCTCAGGATGGCATGTGGCCTGACCTCTTGTGTTCAGGCTGACAGAGAAACTTGAAGGAGCCAAAAGCCTGCTCTGAAAAGAAAGCACCAGGGTGGGTTAATCTGCATTTGGAAGGCATAGGCCCCAGATCAACTTCCTCATATTTCAAGCCTATTATTCCAGCAGGGAGAGCTAGTGCCTCTCTCTCCTCTCTCTCTCCCTCCCCTCTCCCCACTCCCTCCTCCCACCCTCTAGTGCTTTTTATTGCTCTAACACATTTTTTAAAAATGACCTCCTCTGTAAATTTGGGGTGAATGTGATGAGGGGATATACTCCTCATCAGAGAGGTAATTAAAGTTTATAGAAATAACCAAAGTCTGCAGCGAATCTCTGCACTAATGAGGAAACCAGGAGTCTGACTTTCAAACAAACACTCCTGTTAATCTTTTCTAAGCGAGTCAGACATGTGGGCAGGAGAGAGCTGTAAACTCACAGAGCTCCTAGGGCTGCCCTTCCACGGCCACTCTAGTTTGTCCTGAAGCCAGGCCGCACCTCATTCCTCAGGGTTTGTCCTCCTGCTCGCTGGGGCCATCTGTGAGCAAGCTGTGTGTCACTTGTTTTTGCTCACATGGAGCTGTGACATGTTTGAGAGTTAACAGGAAGCTTTACCCCATTTTTCCAGTAAGATTTATATAGTCTGGGGAGAAGCCCTGGTAGGAGAAGCATTAGGCAAATACAATCAATTTGTTTTCATCTGAGGCAATCCTCCAGGCATAAATAAGTGACTCCGCCCATTACTCCTCTTGCTTCATTTGCCCTGAGACAAAAAGGTGAATCCACTGGAAAATGAATGAAAGGTCACCCTGTTTTCACAGCAGTCTGGACATGCTCTGTCAGTCTGTTCCAACTGCTGCATGGTAACCTGGTGATGGTACCAAGTTACTGGAATCCTGAGTGAGTCTGTGGTTTGTCATGGACATAGCTATGGAATGATGCTGTGGTCTCAGCTGTCAGGGGAAAATAGTTGTTTCACTTGTGGGCAGAATATCTAAAAGACCTTAAATACCGCCCATGATTCTCCTGTCTACATAACAATGTCATATTACAAAAAATAATTTATTTGGTCAAATTATCCTTTTTACAATATTTTGTTGTTGATAATCCTCACCGGAGGATGTTTTTTCCATTGATTTTTTTAAGAGAGAGTGGAAGGGAGGGAGAAACATTGAGGTGAGAGAGACATATTGATTGGTTGCCTCCTGCACTCGCCCCAACCAGAGATCAAACCCACATCCCAGGCACGTGCCCCTGACCAGGAATTAAACCCGACACATCCCTGGTGCTCAGGCCAAGACTCCATCCGCTGAGCCACACCGGCCAGGACTTTATAACATTTGGATAATAAAACAACTTTGGCCCTTTAGATGTGCTCAGATTCAAATGATCTATTCACATATTTGTTTTAATTTTTATGTCCAGTCTGAAACCCTCCTACCAAGCCTCACCAGTTACATACCTGGGGGCAGCTCATTTGTCCTACTGGCTGGCCTGGTGCCCCTTATTCAATACCAGTGTGGGCGGGGGATAGGGGATAGACCCCTGATATGCACAGGGAGCTTTTAGAGAGTAGGAAATCTGGGGATTAGGAGGTTCAGGTATTTTACTTGGAAATGTTTTCCCACTGATGGGGCTAAATATTTGCAATGACAGCTCAAGTCTTCATTCTGCAGTTTGACACCGATGAAAGCAGCCCCCCTCCTGGCCCCTCCTACTGCCCTCAAAGGATTAAACAGCCTGAGCAGATAATGGCTGCCTTAAAGAAGCTTTTGCACTACTCAGAATAATGCATGCTGTCTTTCGCACAGGTTGGCAGCTGAACATTAATTTCTTTAAAAAAAAGAGAAGAAAAAAAAAAGCAAAGAAAACCTCCAGATGACAACTCTTTTCAGACAAGGTGTGGAGTCTGTCTGCAAAGAAAAGAGAGAGAGTGCAAGTCCCCCTTGCAGAAGGAAGCCCCCCTTGCAGAAGGAAGCCCCCCTTGCCGAGGGAAGCCCCCCTTGCAGAAGGAAGCCCCCCTTGCTGGGGCCTGGAAGACAGGCAGAACACAGAGCTGGGGGCGGGTTAAAGGGAAAAGCAGGCCCAGAGCAGTGCTGGGTCCTCAAAGCTGGGGCCAGGCAGCCACATTTATGCATTCCAACCCCCTCCTGCCCACAGCATATGACCACACTCTTCAGGCCTGTGCTCCAGGCTCGGTTTCTCAGAGGGAGATCTAAGTTGAAGAGCATCTCCCATGCTGTTCTCTGCTGTTCTCTCTGGTCTTCCCTCCAAGGCAGCAAAGGACCATTCTGGGGTGCTGAAATGGGACCTAGTGTGTACCTACTTCATACCCTAATAGAAAGTCCTTCCTTACTCCTTGGATAACCAACGTCAGGTTATTTAGAGGTATACCTGTGATGTGGTATCTGGGAGTGCTTATGGTACTCGGTTTTTTTTTGTTTTTTTTTAAGTCATCCTTACATTTCAACAGTGGTCAGTTGGAACAGTTGGCCCCTAGGGTTCTTGGACTGTAAGGGCTGATCTTGGGTGCTGACCAAGTCAAAGACTCATGTCATAAATTCCAGGGGGCAGACCCACACCAGGGACATTTCCAAGGAAAGCAGTCATTGTTTCAGATGTACCCCGGCCAGCCAGTGGGCAGAGCAGTGCCACTGGGAACAATCAATAAGAGTTGACAAGAGCCTTTGGAATCACACTGGTGCTAAGGGAACAGAACTTCTAAAACAACAAGCTGGACAGACGTCCTGGTTCATGTGCCATGAAAATGTTGGAATTCATGGCCAAAAATAATGTGAAAACTGGGCAACTAAGCTGGCTTTCCTATTTCACTGCAGAGCCCAAGACTAGGTGAAGGCGGTGGTTCTCGACTGGGCCAGCTTTGGCCCCTGGGACAGTCGGCAACGTCTGGAGACATTGTTTAGTTGTCACGATGGAAAGGCAGGGTGCTACTGGAATCTGGAGGCCAGAGATGCTGCTAAATATCTGACATTGCACAGGACAGCCCCCACAACAAAGTGAACTTCTCAACAGTAGCACCACTGACATTGGGAGCCAGATAAAGAAGATGCTAAATCATTTGGTGAAATCTCATGGAATCATGATTGTCTGGACAACATAACATAATACAACATTTAAAATGCCGGACAGGATGCCTTTGCCCCTTTGCCTGCCCCCTAATCTGCTATAATCTGATCCTGAGGCTAGAAAAGCCAAACTGGCACCCTCTCCCCACACACGTGAAGTGTGTCTGCAGGCTTTCCAACACTGAAGTGCTCGGAGCTGTTTCCACAGTCCAGTTCAGCTCCAGTGTCAAAGCCCCAAATGGGGAGTTTCTTCTTTTGCTTTCAACAAAGGGATTTTTCTCGGTTGCTCTGGTTTCCCTGCCCATGAGCAAAGGTGAGTGCCAAGCCCAGAGGTCTCAGAGGTTAAATGACTAATAGTTAATGAGCTCGTATTAACAGCAGTTATGCTAACCACGGCACCTGAGCTTTCCACTCTGTTCCTCTACCTTGTATGTGCAGCTCTTAGTTGGAAATGTCTCACTTGGGGTGTATTTGCTTTCCATGCCACAGGTACCCCAGGGTACTAGTCACATGACCTGTGAAAGCATGCCCACTCCAGATGGCCCTGTACCCTAGAGGCTGACTTCTTTGGCCTTCTATAGCATCGCCAATCTTTCAGCCGCCACCTTTGCTTGCGGAATGTGAGCAACTCCCAAGTGCCTAGGGAGTGCACTTCTCCAAGCCACTCCGTCTCTGGACCCATGGTCTCTCTCTGGGTGTCGCGGAAAATCAGTGCATGGCTGTGGGACTTACAGCTGGACAACCTTGTCTTTAAACTACATTGGATCCCATTAAAATGCCTGCCAACCCCTTCATGCATCTCCTCTAGTCTCTCAGACCTACTCCAGCAGTTTCAGAGTGTGACTCTCTCTCTCTCTCTCTCTTTCTCTTTTTGTTACTCCTCACCTGAGGGTATTTTTCCATTAATTGCTTAGATGGAGTGGAAGGGAGGGGGCGGGGCGAGAGAGAGAAACATCAATGTGAAAGACACAGCAATTGGTTGCCTCCCGAACAACCTGGACCAGGGGTCAAACCTGCAACCCAGGTACGTGCGCTTGATCAGGAATCAAACCCTCGACTCTCGGTCTCCCGGCCGATGCTCTAACTGCTAAGCCAAACTGGCCAAGGCCATAGTGTGTTTCCAAGCAGCTTACTTGAGAGTCGACTGGAAATCTCTGCAGAGAGGGTTGTCATGCCGCTGGCCCGTCCAGGCGAGATGGGTGTTGCTGGGTGTACGGAAGGAGAGGCGATTGGTCCCAGATACTGGTAGGACTGATCGTAGGACCACGGTGGGGAAGGCTGGATCTGCCTTGTATCTGCAGAGAACCAGGCAGCTCAGTTATATGTACAGTGGGAAGAGATTTTTAAAAAATGTCTTTTAATAAGAAGCCAGTCACCTTTGTTTCAGTATGTCACACGTGTGAGTGGCCTGTTTACCAGTGTCTAATGAGCTTACTTATGTCCAAGTATTTGCTTTTGTTTGATGATTTCTCCCCCAAAAGATACTGAAATATAGTTTATGTCTGATTCTTGAAGATTTTCCTCTGGTAACTGTTTCTTCCAAAGGTTTTACTTAATCATGTGCATAATGATGCGGAGTTGAGCATGCTTTCCAGGTGCAAGTGTTAATGTTCAGACTGTTGGACCACAGCATGTATTGGCTGCCTAACTTCAGCTTTACCACTTAATTACAGTTATCACCATCAGAAACATGTCATAAACCCAGATGATCACCTGTCTATCTGTACTCAGAAAGCAAGAAAGAACGCAAAGTTTTGTTTAGTTTTTTATACCTTTGGCAGAAGTATTCCACAGCGTTTTAAATATTTTCTGTGTAGGTGACTTCTCTGCCAAGGACGATAGGAAGGAAGGCCTGGCTGGGAAGCTGGCCACGCAGCCCGATGACTGGTTCACAAACCCAGCAACAGAGCGCTGGCTCCATCCCCCAGACACACTGAGGCCCTGCATCTCTTCAAGGACAGATGCTGAGCAAGTGTTTTATAGATTGCCATTAAAAGAGGCCCAAGATGGAGAGACAAAAGTTGGACTTCAGAAGATTTAGGTAAAAGGGATTTTGTACATTTGACTCCAGCTTTCACAGGCGTCTGTTTTCAAAACCATCATGCTGTTTGTGGGTGAAAAGAAGGAGGGGGAAATCCCTTTACTTTCAGGCAAAGTACGTAGGAAAATTTAGATGGAACACTGTCCCACCACAAGAAAGCTTTACATTTCTTTGGGGTTAAACACTAATTTTCTCTTTGTGTCCCACCTTCTGTGTGGACAAAGGAGACAGCAAACCATGCCAACCCCCCAGGGTCCTCCCAGCCGGGCTTCCTGATGCTGGGAGTCAATCTAGAAAGAACAAAGTTGCTTAGGAAAATAGCAGGTGTAAGTTCTGTATTTGCCACGACACAAAAACGAGCTCTTCATACTGGTGACAAAATATTCCGATCTGCTCCACCAGGGGCTTGCCATTTCCAAAAGAAGTGTGTCCCTCTGCTCATTTCCTCGCAGCGGTCCTGGTGGGTCACGGAACCAGGCACCAGGAGACCCACGTCCTCCTCCTCCTGACGGTGCCCTCACCCTTCCCCTCTCACCAATCAACTTCTTTAGAATAACTGAACTATTACATTGGAAAAACCTGGACAGATATTTTAACTTAGAATCTTTGAAATCTATGTTTAAGGTTTCATTCGAGTCCTAATTATAGAGAATTTGAGGAGCCGGCAAGGAATAAAAGAGCTAGTCCATCCCAAACTCAGTGGGAGATACACGTTCAGCCATAGTCAGAGATGCTGCATAATCTGACAGCTAACAGTGCTTCTAGTTACGGAAAGCACATAGTTCATATCAACGTGTTCAAGATTCCCACAGCACCACAAGGATTTTGCTCCAAGTGAAAAAAAACCACTCAGATATTTTCTGTAAGACGTGCATATGTCCTAGCCACGCACATCTGCTAAGTGAATCCACAGTACTCAGATATTTTAATCATTTAAAAAGCAAACAAAAGAAGTTTTATAATTGTCATAAAGTTCCCCGGGCTGTGAATTGCGGTATGGTAACTCCTGCCTTGTGTAGACAACCCAGCACCCTAACCCCGTGTCTAAAGCCACAGTAAGCATAAGTATTATACCATGCTTCATGTTCTGTCATGTTTTACTGGAGTGAAAAAGTTGTGCTAGGCTTTTCTAAACTCATAATTAAGCCATGCAAACGTTGCACAATGTTTCACAGCCTTTTAAAAATATGCTTTGGTAAAATGATCTTCATGATTAAAGTCTAAGTTCTATGATTTTTTTTTAACACGGGGTTTTAGATTTAACATCTTCTCACTTCACACCACAACTTAGTTTTCCAGTGTTAGAGGGGAGATAGCACTAAACACCCAAAGGACACCCCCACTATCACCACCTCGGTGATCAGTTTTCATTCATGTGACCAGAGTTGGGTTCACTGCCAGGGGTGGGCCAGAAGGTGATGATGGCTAGCTTCTCAGGTCATGTTTGTGGGTGTTTTCTTCTTCTACGTGTATTGTTAATAAAAAACAAAACCCAAAATTAAAACAAAAACTATGGGCTAGTAATACGGTGTATGCTGAGTGTATAACTCCATTACCCTTCTGGTAACACTGAGCTGAGAGAGGGGAGAAGTGTCTGTGGGGTGGCTCTGGATCACTGCTTACACTCTGTCATTCTCACCTGTCAAGGGTGATGGTCTCTGAGCACCTGCCAATGATGCTAGAGAAGGATTCTGATTACACAGGTCCTATGCAACATTTCTCGGCTGGCCTTGCATGTTACAGAGCTGGGGAAGAAGTGGAGGTGGAGGGTGAGGAATGGCATTGTGATAACTGTATTCTGAGAAGAGGAAGGAGGCCAGGGATACGATGAGGGTTATCCAGAAAAGAAGCCACATGCTAAGGGAGTGGTCACCGTCAGTCATTCTCCAGAAAGCAGGCCTACTTGTAAGACCATCCATCAAAAAGAATGAAAGTTTACTGAAACTTACTGTGTGCTGGGCATGTACTAATTTAGCTGGTAACAGCCTGTGAATAAGACCTGTATGGTCCTTGTCCCATTGGAGCTTACAGTCTGATATTGACAATACCAGAACTGGATGATGCTTGGAAAGGCTTCTTCCTATTGCATCAATCCATCATGCTGAGAGTTGCTTGCCTCATTCATTCATTCGGTCATGAAGTTATTTATTACCTCATTCATTCACATTGCCAACAAACACTTTGCTTTACTAGGGCTACTTATTTGGGGACTCAGCAGTGAATGGATTATAGTCCTTGCACTCAGGAGTAGTAGCTAGTGGGGGACCTGCGGGCTGTATCCAGGAGAACTGCTGGATTATCTGCTTAATCTGGACTTGCAAACAGCTGTTTCCATGTTAGAGATTAGAGCCCTACTGGTATTTATTACATGTTCTGCCTCTGAGAAGAGCAAATTAGGGAAAGCACCTAATGTAAGTCATAGAAGGATTTCAGTTTGAACCCTGACTTCCCCATAAACTAGTTATATGACCTTGGGAGAGTCACTTTTTTCTCTGATACATAGTTTTCCTACTTCAAAGGGTAATAGAATAAGTGAGATAAGATACATAAAGCAAATATCATAGTTTGGGGCCATATTAAATGCACAGCAAGTCTAATGTTCCTGATTATATTACTGAAAAGGAAAAGAAATCCACGCCAAGGGACTGAACTGATATTTACTGGTAAGACCACACACCCCTGCTCCAGGATGAGGCACAGGTAGCACTGACTGCTCCCCGATAAAGGCTCAGGAGATCAAAAGGTGAAGAGCCAAGAAAACTGGAGATTTGGGGTGAGGATGGAGAAGCCAGGGATTCAATGTCAACCAGTCCACGATTCCATGAAAAAAACTAGTGCATTAGAAAATTAAATTTGAGCCTTCCTGCATGCTTTCTAGGGCATATAAAGTTTGATGCATCCACCTCACTGAGGCCATTTTGTGATGGGTTATTTTCAGCGTTTTGATGATCAAATAAATGATAAAACAGAGGCCCCTCTCCACATCGTGAGCTCCACTCCCTTCCATTTGACATGAGGTCAACAGGGTGGGGGAGGGGATAAGAGGTAAGGTGGGGTTGAGGCTAGTGCTGAGCTCAGAGGTATCCATGGCATACATCACTCAAGAAGAAGATAGGATGCTTTAGCTTCTGATGCAACAGTATCACAAAGTCTCCAGAGCTGTCATCTTTTCCCTTAACATATTAATCATAGTTAAATTCCCTGTTTGGTCATTCTAAAAATTTGTATCATATCTGAACCTGGTTCTGTTGCTTGTTTTGTCCCTTCATACTGTTTTCTTCTGGTCTTTTGGCAAAAAGATGACAGCATGCAAAAAAAAATATGGAAAAAGATGACAGCACCCAAAAAATATGAATAGTGGAGATAGAGAGATGGAAACTCTAGGACTGAAAAGGAAATTCTAGAAACGAAAAACTGTAATAGAAGTGACAAATGCCTTTAGTGGGATCACCAGTAGATGGGACATGATGAGGAAAAATCAACGAGCTTGAAAATATGTCAAGAGAAACGTACCAACAAAAAGGTAAAGAGAGAAAAGGGGAAATAAAAGATCTACAGACTTTCAGATAATTTCAAAAGGTATAACACATGCATAGTGGAAGTACCAGAAGGAAACGGAGAAGAAAACAGAATGGAAGAAATATTTAAAGTATTATTGACTAAGAAGTTTACAGAGGTAATGATAGACACCAAACCACAGATCCAAAAAGCTCATAGAATATCAAGCAGGCTAAATACCAAATAATCTACATTTAGGCCTATCATATTGAAACTGCAGAAAACTCAAAGACAAAGAGAAAAGCTTGAAAGAAGCCAGAAGTGAGTGGGAAAGGGACACATTATATAGAGAGTAAAGAGATGAGAATTACTGTGGACTTCTCTTTGGAAACCATGCAAGCAAAAAGACAGTGTGGTAAATAGTGTTGCAAGAAAAAGCACTGACCTAAGCCACCATTCAGCAAAATGAATGTACAGGAGAAATAAAGACATTCTCTGACAAACAATAACTAAGATTATTTATCCAGCAGACATACCCTGCAAGACATGTTAAAAGAAGTTTTTCAGGGAAAGAAAGATAATATGGATCAGAAACTCAGATCTACATAAAGAAAGAAAGAGCATCAGAGAAAGAATAAATGAAGGTAAAATAAAGTCTTATTTTTCCTATTCTTAATTGATCCAAAAGACAATCTCTGTTGAACATGATAATAGCAGTAATGTGCTGGGTAATTACAGAATGGATAAGTGAAATGA